CATTCATTTTTGTTTCCAGGTCTTTGTTCTCGTAAATATTATATAATAAACATCTGTAATACAGTATAATGTACATACTTTTTTCTTTTATTTCTATGAGACAGATTCCCAGAAGTAGGGTTGCGGAGTCAAAAGATACATGTATTTTTAATTTTATAAGATTCTACTTATTTGTTTTTTAAACAGCTTCCAATTATTTATCTTTCTCTCCCAAAGGACAATGGTAATCTTTCGTTGGTTTCCCATTGGCAATGGGTATTATGTTGTATTTAATATTCTCCAGTTTGAAAAATCAAAGATATTAACTCTTTCTTTTGAAAAATTTATATTTCCCTGACTTTGAGCATGTTCCTGTATATTTGTTGAATATTTGAATATTGAACTCTGTGAAAGATCAAATCCTTTGTCCATTTTCTTTTTTTTTCTTAAAAATTATTGGGTGACATTGATTAATAAAATCAAATAAGTTTCATGTGTACAATTCAATGGTATGTCATATATATATTGCATTGTGGATTCACCTCCCAAATGTCCATTTTCTATTCATGGTTTGGTTTAGTCCCTTTTCTAAGAGTTCTTTGAGTATAATAGGTATTGACTCTTGTCTTTACGTCACAAAATTTAATCCAAATGCACCTTTGCTTACTTTCTTTCTCGTTTTTTTTTTTTTTTTCCATATATAAAAGCTTTTAATTTCCATGTGGTCAAGAATAGCTTCTGAGTGTCCAATCATGACTATGGGAGTTTTCAGGAGTTTTTACAGTTTTATTTTTTACATTTTATTTTAATATTGGGATTTATTTACTATGTGGTTTAAGATTGGAGTCCAATTTTATTTTTTTCCAAATAAAGATCCAGTTGTGAGAATACAACTGCTTAATCCAAACTTTCCCACTCAACTGAAATACTGCTTTTGACATTCATTAAAGTCTCATGTATTCCAAGTCTAGAATTTAGAACTGGGGTCTCGTTCCCGATTCTCTGGCTTATTTGTCTAGTTCTGTGTCAGTAGCACACAGATTTGGTTACGTGGCGTTACAGTAAGCCCGATGTTTATCAAAGATAAGTCCACCCTCCTGATTGCTCTTCTTTGAGCATGCTCTGCATATCTTTTCTCAGGTAGTTGTTAATTCCATTTATACTTCAAAATCACTTTATGCAACACTCCTACTTTGCCTCCAAAACAATCGCCCATTGGGATTCTGTATGGAATCGTGTAAATTTGTATATTAATTTTAAAGGAGTCGATTTTTATGATATTAAATCTTCTCATGAAAGAAACTAGTATGCATTTTCCATTTGTTCAAATCTTGTTTCATATACTTCAATGAGATTTTGTTTTTTTCATATAGATGTTATAAAAATTATTCATATGCGATGTATAATTTTAATTGCTATTTAAAAAGAATTATTACTAAGTGTTCTTTGCTGGAGTGAGAAAAAAGCTATTGATTGCTAGAATAAAAAAAAAAAACCTGTCGCTTTTTATGTATTTGTTATGGATCTGATCCCTTATCAATTTTCTTGAAATCCAGCATTTTTTACTAGTTTCTTTTGGGTTTTCTAGATATATGATCATACAAGAACATATTTACATGGCCATTTTTATGTGCATATTTGTATAAGCAGAGAAATAGTTCATCTTTTTTTCTAGCATTTTTAATAGTTATTTAATTTTTATGGCAGTTGCTGAAAATTCCAAAGCCATGCTGAATTATAGTGATAGCAGGCATCCCTGACTAATTTTTTGTTCAAAATGAAAAAGTTTTAGAATTTTACCATTTGCGGCAACATGCTACTACTGTTTATTATAAAGAGTTTGCATTATGTTAATTGGCTTCTTTCCTACTTAGAGTTCTCATTTTGGGTACAGCAGCTTAATTACTTCAAATACCTTTGCGGCATCTACTGATGAGATCACATTTTTCTTTATTTTGTTGATACAATGATATTTAGAAATTTTGAAACTCCTGTATTCCTGAAATAAATCCTACTTGGTCAAATATTTTATTCTTTTGATACACTCTTGAACTCTATTTGCTGATATTTTATTTAGGATGTTTGTATTTATGTTTACGTGAGGCCGGCTAAGTTTTCTTTAAATTATTCTGGCTTGATGAAATTAAATAAAATAAAATTTCTGAAACTGTTTTAAAAACAGTTATTTCTTCACTAAAAATTAGATAAAATTTCACTGAAATCTACCTGATAACGGTAGCTTTTGTTACTGGTGGTCTCTTCAGTCTCATTCTACCCATAAAATAAAATGATGTAGAAATTTGAGATAATAGAATAACAATAAGAATCTAATGAGACAGACTCATTCGTTATTTTGGGAGATGGAAGAGTGTAAGTCAGTTTTAATGCTATTTAATCTGCTGTGAGAATTAAACTGAGAAGGAGTGATGTTCTACTTTAGTGACGGCTTGGGGAATAAAACATAAAGAATAAATACAGAAGACGAAAAGCAGGAGTAACACTCCTTGAAGAAAACAGCAAGGAGAACTGGAGCAGAAGAGGGGCCACCATCAAATGCCTCAGATGTTACAAACTGCCTCTTGCACTGGGTCTTTGTGGAGTGATTCTGGAGTGGGAAAAAATGGCTAAACAGGACATTATTGGAACAACAATAGTAAAATAGGAATCTGGACTAATGTGGATTAGCTAAGAGTATTGTATCCCTGTTAAATTTTCGGATATCAGTCATTATACTGTAGTTATGTAAGAGGATGGCCTTAGCAACTTTGCAGAAAAGCATTGAGCATTAAGGGCCCGATGTCGTACCTGGTTCGGAACTAAATGTGTTTGCAGGGGTGTGTGCACACGTGCCTGTGGGCAAACCTCCATGTTCCCCAAAGGTTTGGCCCTACCAGCTAATGACTCTTTGACCCCATTTCACAGATCCTTGATGTCCCTCCCCGCTACCACGCCTCGTTGGCCTATTCCGACACCTGCACTGTGGACCTCAGAATGACGCAGGGACATTTCACCCTGAAGTTCACCTGTCTGCTGCAATGTTCTCTTCTCTATAGTCTGGGAGACACAAAGTACACAAAACACAATCCCGATCCTAGTGTTTGAAGGTCGCCGTGGGCTTTAAACGTTAAGGTGCATAACCATCACTAGGAAAATTTGTTTAAAATGGGGTATCCCTGAGAAACTCTTTGTTAAGTGGGGGTGTTGCTAAGGAATCTGAATCTTTGATCAAACTCAGGTTATTCTCATGCAAGTGGTCCGGGGACCATAATTTGGCCCATACCGCCCTGCAGCCAGCCTATCAGAATCTTATGAATAGTAGGCACACGATTCAAATTTACTGGATTAATTTCAATTGTCGAAGGCTGTGCGGAGCTAAGCAAAGAATCCAGCTCTCATACCCCAAGCATGGACATAGGGCTGAAATCCATTCGTCGTGTGACCAGGTGACATGCATTCCAGACCTGGCTTTAGCTCTAAATCATAGACCCCTCCTCGGTCTCAGCCTTATATTTCTAAATATCTACATGGGCATGGGTTTGGCCCTTTCCAGCACTAAATCATTATGGAGTAGTCAGTATACTTTCCCCTTAAGTGGTCACATAATTTTAACCTGCTCAAAACAGTCTTCAGTCCTGCGAAGTTAACCTGTCCAAGAGGAGGGGGTCCTTGAGCCCCTATTCATCTGGGAGTAGCTTTTCCAGCACAGGTGATGCATGAACATCAATTTAGCCCTGCGCTTACCACCTGTCACCTTTGTCTTCTTGGGCATAAGTATTAGCAGCGAACGTGATAGTGCACTTTGTAGCATGTAACACAGTTATAAACTGACCAATGCTGTTTAAACTCAAGATCTAAACTCAGTCCCAGTGGCATCTCAATCTATATATACCCTGTTAACCTGTAAGCTACACAGGACTGGGGCAACCTGCTGAATGCAGTATTTTATACCTAGCACTTAGTATAGTGGCTACT